TTGGGCTGAAAGGCAAGTGCATTATTGTTGCCTGGCAGCAGCCTTGCATCAGCTTTTGGAATTCATATCTGGCCTGATATTGGAATCTTCCAAACTTCTAGTGTTGACAACTTCAATCTCCATGTCTTGAAACTACATTTTGGTTGGGCTTAAGGTCACATGAGACAGCCCTATTTGTGCTTATTGTTTCTGCACTCAACCTTCAGGATTAAAACTGGACGGATTACTGTGATCCACCCCAAGCACCTGAGAGATGTTGGGTTTTTGAGGAATTCCCCAGAGATCAAATAGGCAGATTTATCACATCTCTAGTTATGCTTTGGAATTCTTCTCTGGAGAGCATTGGGTGAAATTGCCCCCTCAAGTGGCCTATCCTAATTTGCAGATCTCAATCTCGTTGGAAAATCAAGGAGCTCCAGAGAATAAAATAGTTGAAGAAACATCAGAGCAGAGGGTAACATAAGAGTGAACGTGATCAAAGAAATGAATATACTGTATCTTTAATATTATTACGCCTATACAGTACTTTTATTGAACCTGCATGTTTCTGTAAAGCACCCTTAAGTTTATTCTTATTTGGAGGGTAAAAATAAAAAAGGTGATCTTCCTACTGGCTGCTACCACATATTTGTGAGACTCTTTGCAGATAAAATTGTTCATATTCGCTCATAGCTAAATTGGCATCTGAAGAGATGATTCAGGTGATATCTTGCAAAACTAACTGGGAAGTTCACATATAGACACAAGCTTCACATATAGACAGAAGTCTTCATAATAACATAGTGATGAGTGACCAATCAGCAAATGACAAGTTAAATGTAAAAACTTCTGAAATAATTCTCAGCTTCTTAATTTTCAGAACGGCCCTAATTTTAGCAACACTAAGTACTGTATTAATCAACTTTTTATTTTAAAGCATTTTTATAATTTAAAAAACTAAATTAAAAACAAGTAATATGGGAAGGCCAACATAAAAGGAAGAGTTGAGAAAGAGGTTCAAAATGTATTAGTTTTCTTGGTCCAGCATACTGCAGAAGGAAGACCATTTCTAAGGCCAGGTATTGTTTTGAAGCCATATGTAGCAGTCAACAAAACTAGGCTATAGAAAGCAAAAAATTGCAGGTGCCTACAGAATTGCTATAATTATTCATACAAGAAAGTATACTCTGCTAGTTTTCTAATAATTAACCGAAAATATGCCCAGGTAATGGAGTTAATTGTCAATAAAAACAGCATGTGGGTTAATAATAAGACTTGAAGTGTACTGTACAGCTGTGCCAGGATCCGGGATTATTCATGAGGTAGATTAACAGTGACGTCACTGTTAACATTTGGCATCACCAGCCTGTTGGTCAATTCATTTCACACCCTTCTTAAACAAAGTCCTGGCATGAGGCCCAGCATGTTGCATAATGTGAAATTCTGGTGTACTCAGATTCAAACCATCATCAGGAAGCTCTGAGAAAGATTTTTTTCCCTCTTTGCTTGTGTTTTGTTCAATAAAATAATCTTTGTGTGTGTGTGTGTGTTTGTATGTCCACTTGTATGTGCACATATGAAACCTTAGGCATATTTTTATCATTTGAAAAAGCTAGCTAAATATCTTTGGCTAGAGACTTTTGCTAAACAGATCAGACCACAGGTAGAAGGCAAAGGCAGGCTAGAATCTATTTATACAAATGCTTCAGTCATTACATTTATTGCATTTGTTCATTAAACAAATTTATATGGCTGCCCAACTCACACAGGGTGACTCCAGGGGGCATCAAAACACACACACACACACACACACACACACACACACACAGAGTATATATTCATAAAAATATATATTAACATATACATATACAGTATAATAAAACATCTGGTCATTTGTGTATTACAGTACTATAAATTCAGTAGAACTTCTATATATTCCAATATTTGAATGTGAGCTCCCTAAGAATGTTATTATTGCATGAAGCCCTCATCAGATCTGCATTTATCCTACTAGACAAAATGTACAATGTTTATGAAAAAGAATAAAGAGAGGAAATAAAATACTGTATCAAGACTGTTAAGCAGCTTTGCTCATAATTTCATTGTTTTAATTTCAGTGATTATTTTGCTTAAAAAAGGCAGTTATTTTTTCTACCAATTACTTTGAAATATAGTAGAGAAATGATTTTTACAATGATACACTAAATCACCTTTGTCATGAACTGATGCAAAGTATGCTGTAAATAAAAATTGTAACCAAAGAACTGTAGAATATTTACATTTTGGTTTAAATTTGTAATGCAACTTCTAAACAATCTGTTTTTTTTCCAACTATACAGCGACTATATTGAATGCATTGCAAGCCACAATTTTCTATTTGCTTTTTATTTGCTGAGATTGAGGACCAATGCTCTTCCAAAAGACTAGCTGCTATATTTACCACTATTTCATTTGCTCCTCCAGATTTAAATCCAACTATGTTAGCATTGAATTCATTCAGGTAGTCCTCAATGTATGACTATAATTACCATAATTATCGTCTTGTCTGCTTAACGACTACAACAAAAAAGGTTGTAAAGCCATTGTGGTTAAGCGGGTCACATTACCATGCCTGATTTTACTACTTTTTGCTGCAATCATTAAGTCAACCTGTTTATCCAATAGATTTTTGACTAGAAACCAGAAATAAACACTCGAAACCATCCCAAAATGGCAAAAATTGCAATCACATGACCTTTGGACACTGCAAATGGCTGTAAATGCAAGCCGGTTGCCAAGTACCCAAAATGAGATCACATGATCGTGTAGGGGTGAAATTGGATCATAAGTATCCTTTGGGGGGGGTCTGCTGTAACTTCAAATGGTTGCTCAGTGATTGGTTAAGCAAGGACTTAGTTTTGCTGTCTAATTATAATATTTGAGGATACAAAGAGACATTTTTTTCTGAATTATTCAAGATTTCATTGTTTTGGGGGTAAGTGTGGTTCTATGTCTTCTCCAGTTTTATGTTCCCATTATTCTTTTCATTTGCTTTTCTTAGTGTGGCTTTTAGTTTGATAGTTTTTTTCCACTTAATTCAATTTCCTCTCTCCTGAATGTTGGTTTTATATGCTGTCATTCTGCCACCTTTTCTACACAAGCCTTTTTTCCTCCTCCTTCCTCATAAAAATCTGGATTCTTCCAGCTAATCACGGTATAACTATACCTTCTGATTCATAGTTCATTATGCACTGAGGGCATTCTCTGTTTCATGCATGAATACCAGCCAAGTCTGACAAACAGAATTCAGATTTGAGCCTTGTCATTTCTGAAACCAGTACATTTTAAAATACTATAACACTGCCTGCAGCAATTCCTAATTCTCTGCAGACTGCAGAGAATAGTTTAATGATCTATAAAGATATTCATTTTCTGGAATTCTACTACGAAAGTTATAATTATGTATGGTTTTATTTTTGATCATTGCATATAAGCATCCTATGTGCTTTAGATGTTATGAGAAATAGGAATGGTATTGTGAGAGCTGGTGTGATGGACTACAGTGAAGTGGCAGTGTCCCTGGAAGGAGGGAGCATATTCCAGAAAGAGAAGGAAGACAAGAGGCAGTGCATCCCAGAACTGGAGAGGAGACAGAGGAAGAAAGTAAGGATAACCACTCCTTAGAATATCTCAGGGTGCATCCATAAGGCTGGGACTAATAAAGGTTTAGTCTGGCAAGAATCTGTCTGCTATGTGAAAGCAAATAAAGAACTGGCATCACTTATGGCTGAATTGTTCCATGTCCTTCTTGGGCTTTGTCTGACAAATAAGTCCTGAGATCACATCAGCATGAGGATTCACATGTCAAATGTGCCCTTCCAGGTTCATATGGCAACAGCTTTGAGGCAAACCAAATCCTATTTATTGAAAGCTCAGCGTGAACTGTTAATCTACTGAAAGAGGCAATGAAGACATTCAAGTTAAATCATGCTGCATTTCAAATCCCCATGAAAGTTTTTCAGATGTTACTGATCCATTTTTCCCAATGGCTTATCTGCTGCACAGTGCCTACCGGTATTTCTACTACCAAGCTTTTTGCCAAACATCTCAGTAGTCAAGACATTGTATTGTATGCAGTAAATGCAGATCCTTGTGCCTTAAAAATGTTTTATCTCTAGAAAGTACTCAGGGCACCTGCTTGATTACAGCCAAAGATCTCTATATAAACCTATATACCGGTAAGTGGTGCCAGTTTAGTTATCCATGGACTAGTTATGCATACAAGCTCTATTAGCCTTTATCACTTTATATGTTATCTTAAAATACTGAAGGTTGGGAAGGTGCTTATTTCTCAAAATAATTGGTTAGACTGATGATTGCATATTTTGTTTTGTTTCTTTCATTTTATAAGGATTGGTGACTTCAGTTTTCTTAAAACACGGAATAGTGGGTCCCTGCTAGTTCTAAGGATGAGATCAAATTCTATTGAATTTCACCATTAGAGTACTTCTTATTAATCTATCTCTCTGTTCAAAACAGTAAAGCAAATTTTATGCTGCAAAACTATGAAACTGAGTTAATTAACAAAAGAATTGTTACTTCCCTGCCTATCTCTCAAATTTACAATCCAACACAACAACTATTCTTAAAAATTGACCTTAAAATGATTATTTCAAGAATTAAATGGTAAAGTATTAGTTCTACTTTCCTGCCTACTTTAGCTCACTTGTTCAACATATTGGTAGAAATAATAAAGTGTCCACAGAATACTTTTAGAAGCAAAACAATAGCTGGAACATGGTGGTCAACTAATACATGGAACACAATCTTCTTGAAGGATAGCTAAAATCTATACAAAGTTTTTAAATTAATTTTTATTTTAGAATATAAATATTTGAATGTTTCATATGTAAGCTTCATAGTTTTTTAAAACAGTCAATTAATAATCAAGCCATTATTTTTCAACGTGGCTTTTGAATGTCATGTACTTTGCTAGGATTTCCAACATCCTTCCCTTTTCAACTCCATTGCTTCCTCTGTGATTTTCTTGTGCAGAGATGATATTGTATGTGTCTATATAGATATTTCTTTTCTGGTTTTTTTTGTTATCTGATGGCTGGTCATTTTAAATAAGTGCAAAAGTCTCTGGAGTCAAGTCCAAATCAGTACCAAAAGGGCTGTTCAAAGCAGTATCACGCTGGAATAATGTTATGCCATTTAACCACAACCTTCTCTGGATTAGCAATTGTGTCCCTCCATTGATCAGCAGCTTCTGCACTGTTACTGTCACTGCTTAACCAAACCTGCATGATAAGAAAAACAAAAAATAATGATAAAGACTCCAAAAGCTGTTTTTGACATTTATCTTGATCAGTGTATAAAAACGATGTTTATACAATGCAGAATATGAATCAAGAACAGAGAGGATGCTAAGATGAGATACAAATATGCATTTTATTAAAAATGGATTCTAATAAGATTATGATATCTTTTATCTTAATTTTAGGATTTTGAAAAAGACTAATTTTTATATCCCATGATCTGGGATTTCTGCTTTAATACCTTCTGAGCATTTGATCTTTAACTTCTAATAATACTTTACCTGTGTTTTATAAAATTATACTCTCTTACATAGTGATTCTTCTAGCCTATTAAGATTGTTTTGAATTTTATTTCTGTTTTCCAGGCTGTAAGATATCCTATTTCATGTTGTGTCATCTGCGTAATCTACAAATAACTTATCTTCAAGATTTAGCTTTATTGAATTCAATTTATGATATCTATAGTTTTATGATGGATGGATGGATAGATGGATGGATGGATGGATGGATGGATGAACGGATGGATGTGGCTTCTGAGCTATTCACAAATTTATACTTCCTAACAATTTATAGAATGGAATCGAATGGATATTTGTATCTTCTGACAAATCTGAGTTGTAAATTTGAGATCGCTGATATAAAGTTGCATAAGAGGAAATTACTTATGGTACAAAACTGTTTATTCATAATGAGATAAAAATTTTAAAGGATCTAGCCATGAAATTAAATCCATATTTAAAGAAATTGCTGAATATCACCTGGCTAGACAATATTCAGCAAAATCTAAAGGGCTGCAGGCTTCCTATTCCTGTTTTATTTCAACCAGGATTATATTAATGTTAACATGTTTTTTTTTTAAAAGCAAAGTCTATGGTTCACATAAATTTTAAGTTTTAGAATTCAGAAACTTGCATTGGGTGTCATAGGTGAAAAAAAAAAACACCAACCTGTCCCAGGAAATGTTTTCTTCTCACTGAGCTCCTACTATAGAGTTTGATGAGAAAGTTTATTCCATGTTCATTCTGGCTCACAGGGAACATCAGGGTTTCTCCCCATTTTACTTGACTGTTAGTAGATTTCAGCAGACGAGTTTTTTTCTTATCAACCAATCCTTCAGTGCTGAGCATCTCAATCTTTACAAAAAAATCTATGGTAGAAGCAATGACTTTTTTTTTAACGTTTTCATTGTGTGAAGTTTGAAATCCCAAAGAATATATTACTGTTAATTATAACTGATGCAAAGTCTTTGAATATGATATACAAATGGGGAGAGAGGGAGCCACTGGGTGGATGCAATTTAATGGATAGATACACAGTGCTCACTCCTTAGAAACAAGTCTCCGCTCACTGGAAAGCAGCTTCGGTTCCCAGTATTAGGCTGTTATAAAGACCAGTGGAATTCACCTTTCTACTTAAAGTGCAGATTTTTGCTTTTTGACCCACTAATGCAGTGGTTCTCAACCTGTGGGTCGGGACCCCATTTGGGGTCGATCGACCATTTCATGGGGGTCGCCAAGCAAGGCTGTCCACCATTTTTTTTGTCCGCCATTTTTTCCCCCTTTTCCGGCGGGTGCCTTACCTCCCTTGGGCTGGGCCAGCTGGTGGTCGGCCTGCTCCGTCTCTGCCGCTTGCCAGCTAAGCCTCGGCCGGCGCAGGGGGCGGAACCACGCATGCGTGGCGCTCCCGGGCAGGGAAAGTCCTCGACTTACGACCGGCTGGGTAGTCCTCGACTTACGACCGGTTTAGTCCTCGACTTACGACCGGTTTAGTCCTTGACTTATGACCGGTTTAGTCCTCGACTTACGACCAGTTGGGGTCACGGCATTAAAAAGGTTGAGAACCACTGCACTAATGCCTACTTCCTGAAGTGGGTCCATTTCCTAGTGAAAACTTTCTAGATGATGCAATTTTGCCTGTTAAATTTGTCCATACCAGTCAACGAGTGTAACAGATAGCCTGCTGCTATCTCAACTGCAACATCCCCACAATAGTATAACTCTACTCAAACCTCTAAACATATTTGACTATCAAATAATAAGCTTTAAGAAAGCATATTTTAAAATAAGCAAGATCAACCAAGAGGATTCAGAAGAAATCTTTTTAGTTTTACTTTATGCATCTGAGAAGCCTCGATAAAGACATGACATATATGTGACTTTATATAAAAGTCATTCTACAATCAGAAAAGAACAGTAGCAGCCACACAGAGATGTGTAGTTTTGTATTTAAACATGCTCTCTTTTATGGAGTTTGACCAATAAAACTATAGTATTTACTTGAAGACAATGGTGTGGATGAACTTGGAAGGTTCTGAGCTTCTAGAATTTGCAACTGGATCCGGCTGTTTACTGCTTGAAAACAGGTGCCTATTTTCAATTCTGCAGAACACACCTGCACAGAGAGTCAAAGAGCAAAGGAATGTTCCATCTTCATCTTAGCCAACTTTCACAAATCAAATATTTTGTTACACAGGTGTGAAGTGAAAAGATCAGACTTTTCATTTTGACAAAGAAACATCAGCCCTATCTTTTTTTTTTTAATGGCCTGATAATGCTACTTTTGTATGCTATAGAATTATAAGTTCTAATCCTTCCAAATTTGCCAGAATCAAGATTGGGATCCAAAAAGCTACTATATATATTTTGGGGAAAGTGCTTTCAGGATTTCTGTGGAATCTCTTCATTTTTTAAAATGGCAGGATCTCTTTTTTTCCAGATTATAAATTGTTTTTTAAAAACTGCCTTACATTTCTAAAAACTTTTTCATGAGGTTGGGATGACCTTTGGTTTATGGAATTCATTTCCTGGTTCTTTAGAGCCGGTTCTGGCAGATGTTAATAAGTGAAACTACAATACTACTTCCTTGTGTGAAATTCTATAGTGATGAATTTTTATAATTAAAATACTTTCATTACTAATGTAACTCCATGTCAGAGGAATGCCAATCTGTCCTAAATATGGAGAGTAAAGAAAATGACCTTGATAGATATTTTCAAAAACTCCTGCCACACAAAAAAAGGGCTTACAAATTCTAGGAAGCAAGATAATATTCAGAAGCAGGCAAAAACCTCCCTGATTCACGGAGTAAATGAAGGAGGGTAAGATACAGCACACTCTGCCTTGCAAGGTCTCTTATTGTAGCTTATCTCAAGAAATTATAGTTCTGATTTTCTTGTGGAGATATTAGCCATTCAAGTTAGGCCAGACCAGAAAATAATCGACAGACTTATTAAGGCTGTCTTTTTCGAAACAGATCAAATCCTGTTAAGTGATCCAGCCTCAGAATAAAAACTACTATTATATTAGAGATATATAGCTATTGTGAATTTATAGCTGTGGTGGAGGGGAATTTATAACAGGTGAAGGGAAAGAAGGAGTTGCAACATACAAAGAATTACAGGCTTTGCATCCTATTTATAATTTTTCAGACATTACCTTTGTAGATAAAAAAGAACAGGTTGCAATTTGGCAACGGGAGAAGTGCGTGTGGAAGTTTTAGCTGATAGGGCTACAAATGAGGGGACTCTTTTCTCCCTACACCCCCCCCCCAGCGTTGCGGGCTCCTGACAGAAGCGAGGAAGAATCAATGAATATTAACAAAAGGAAATGACAAAAAAACAATTATACATTTCTGCTCCTGCATAAAACCCCATGTATCTCCTTCAAGAATCCTTAGGATACTTTAACTTACTAAAGCTTTGGAAGGAGGCGTTATCATCAGCCAATAATCCACTTCCTGTGAACTGAGGTCTCGCAGTGGCAAAATACATTCTCCTATAGTTTTTCTTCTGGGAATCAGAGATTGTACTTTGAACACAAGTCTTGCAGTTTGGAGGAGTTGCAGTTTAATAGCAAACACAAAGGTTTCCATGAATTCAATGTCCTAGATGCAAGCGAAAGTCAAATATGAGAGTTGGAAAAAAAATCCTTTTCCATAATCATTCTCGTGTCTCTGCTTTTATCAATTCACATATTCGCATATGGAACAATTTTGAAATAGTTTTTTTTTTTTTAAAGTGCCACTTACATTGGAAGCTTCTTTTGCTAAACATCTGAATTGCACTGGTTTGTGTAGGGTAAGGATTCCTTTTATGGAAATTTGAGGATGTTCTTCACAAGTAGATGACCAGTTCAAATCTTTGCACTACAAAATTGAAAACTAAACAATGCAACCTTGGAAAACACAATTACATGCTTAATTTCCTTATGTCAGTTTGCTTTATTTATGATTAACATTATTCATCTACTCACTATAAAATATGGTTCTTCAACTTTATAAAATCTCAAGGCAACTGAAGAATCAACCCTTGCTGATTAAAATTATTGCATTAGATATTTATTGCTGAAAAAGTGATTTAATACTGGCTGTCTAAGATATAAGTTACACTAATGTCTCATTCTTATATCTTCATAAATACCGAATAGTTAATAAATATTAACACGATAAAAATTGTAATGAAAATGAAGTAGATTAAAGTACAAATTATTCTTTTTCCATATAATGTTATGTCTGAAGATGCACTGGTTTATGTAACAGTATATTCTCTGTACATAATCTGTCCCAATTCAATTCCTCTCATTTTCAAATAAAAGGATTTCATACAGCAAAATGTGTATGGTATATCCTCTGCTGCTAATAAAATCTAGCTAAATCAGTAATGACATTCATATATATAATAAAAAGTGCCATTGTCCATTAAGATTTGCTTAGATGGATCCATTGTTGAGGGGGGCATTTTTCCTCCCTTCACACATATATATATTTGTTTTTTTATGATAATTAATGTGGTTTTTTACATTTTTATCTGTTGTTTTTATATTTGGTGTTTCATATGATTGTACACTGCCCAGTATCACTTTTGGTGAGACAGGTGGTTATACAAATTCAATAAATAAACCTTTGTCAACCTAATGGTTCTTGCTTAACAGCTGAGTTTAACATATAAAGTAGATTTTTTTCACCAGTGCCCCTAATTCAAGAACCAGTAACTGAATGCTTTTTAGGATTACTTACTTTCAAGATGGTGATCCATATCTGTTCAACAGAAAAAATGTAGCACACCTTCACGTTCAGCCTGCCAAATTCTCTTTCGTCACCTGATAATGTAATTGTATCTGGGGATAAATCCAAAAACACTTTTGGAACTTGTTTTCAAAGGCTGAAAAAACATTAGTTTATCCAGTGAACTCAGACTTCTTTTTAAAAACCTGTTCTCATTACTTAAATATTTATCCCTACTGCCAAGATATGTCAGTTGTTATGTATAAGGAAATACATGTGTTTGGTATAAATCAAATCTGCCAATGTTTCAGCCGTTTATGAGTAATCCTATCTAAATGCAGCATAAAAGGTGTTTTCAAAATTACATAAACAATATAGTGGGTTGCCAACTTTCTTCCTTAGCACACACCTGCACTGGCAGAACCAGAGAGATTAACCTTTTCACCAATGTGATATCACTCTGCCAAGCAAAGTTTATGCTAAACAGCAGAGGACCAATGTCATAAAATAAGTGGCAAATGAATCCAAAACAATGTACTATACTAAGCTTTAGTTTACAGCAACCTTTGCCAACCTGCCACTTTTCAGATGCAGTAGGACTGCAATTCCCAGAATTCTGAACAAGGATGACTTAACTTTACTTTCAGTAAAGTTCACTCCAGTATAGTGTGAGAAATATTTCTTTATACCAATATAATGCTTGCTTCCTTGCTGTCAGCCTTGGAGCAGGAATTTCATGAGCTTCAACTTGAAAAGTCATTTCATTCTCTTAACCCCATTATTTTCTACATGGTACCCTCACTTACTACTCAATATTTGCCTATTTCCTACAGGCAGAACAATTTTGTTTTAGTGGATTTTCCCAGTCCTCGGCTCTCTTTTTCCCTATTCAGAATTTCCAATCATTTTTTCCACCTAAAAAAAGCACTGGCTTTTAAAGAGAGTATATGGTTCAGCCATTCCATATTCTCCATGTGGAGAATAAGGAGGTCAGCAAACCACTATTATGAACTTCCTCTACTCTGGATATATTAGCTTTCCATTAAAGGGAGAGAGGCTTCTTTCTTTTAATACAGAGGATTAAAAAATGTGTAACTAACATTTCTATTTATTATATCAAGTACTGTAGTCTAGGAAGTCATGCAACATATTTTAACTAGGTCTTATTTTTGTTGGGTTCAATCAACTTAAGTTAAGGCTTAAGGCTATACTGTAACTTGTTCCAACCTATATTTTTCTTTCAATAAAATCCATTTTTAACTATTATTAAGATACCAGTGTACGCTCCATTTCTAATAAAGCTAAAAAGAGAAGTGTAACAAAATTCTAAGTCAAAATATATTTTGATTTTATAAAAACATAATGTAGGATCTATATTGGCCTACATCTTTAGCATGCTTGTACCAGATATTTCTGGACTTCACAGAACTCTCTCATCATATGAGACCCAGTTTACCCAATCTCTAGCAGAAGCAAGACAAGACAACACTGTTTATTACCTAAGCTCCTATTACTACCTTGTGAATTCTTTCTGGAGGAGATGCTGCTTGGTACACTGGAGGCGGAATCATATCTCTTCAACAAACAAACAAAAGTCTGATTAGTTAACACAAAACAAAACAAGAATAAGAAAATACAGAACTAGGTGTGAGATCAAAATATATTATTAAGAAATTACAGTTGGTTCTCAATTTATGACTTATGACTGATCGTTTAACAACAATTTGCAGTTATGACACTCAGAAAAAGTGACTTACAACTCATCCTCAAAGTTACAACCATTGCACTACCCTTGCAGTCATGTGATTGCAATTCAGGCACTTGGCAACTGGCTTGCATTTACGACAGTTGCAGCATCTTGTTATGCAATCATGATTTGTGGCCTTTCCAGCCGGCTTCTGAGAAACAAAGTCAATTGGGGAAGCCAATTTTGTTTAACAACTGATTTACTTATTGCAGTAAAAGTGGTTATAAAATTGGATCCAGTCACTTAATGACCACGTCATTTAGCAACTGATGTGGTCTTAAGTCAAAGACTACCTGTGATCAATCATTTACAGTTATTAATAAAGCTTGGTATCACAGTAACACTAAATAACACTTATTTACCTGAAGAAATTGGTGGGGTGGACTTGTAAGATCAAACATAGAATGGCTTAAAGAGGAAGAGCAGGGCAATGTGCTACTTCTTAAGTCACAAACTGAAAAAAGAAACAGAAAAGGAAGCCCATCTTGAAAATTTCAAGATCAATTTAGTTTTTTAAAAAATTCTATATCAGAACAGGGTTGATATGAGGTTGCTATAAAGTGTTATAACATTTCATAATTTAGTTTGATTCATCACCAAGTGAGAAATTGCTATCACTTCCTAAGAATAGACAAGTCTAACTCTATGTCATTTAAACAATCACAAATAAAAAAACACTGGGAGCTGCAAAACCTGCGCGCGTGCGCACACACAAGGGGTGGGGAGCTTGATTGAAGAGTTTAATTAAAAAGAAATAGAGGCTGCTGTGCATGAGTTCTCTCTCTCTCTTTCTCTCTCTCTCTTTCCTCTCCCTCTCTCTCTTTCTCTTTCCTCTCCCTCTTTCTTTCTCTCTCACTCTTTCCTCTCTCTCCCTCCCTCTTTCCTCTTTCCCTCTTTCTCTCCCTCTCTTTCTCGCTCCCCCTCTCCTCTCCCTCTCCTCTCTCTCTTTTTCTCTCCCTCTTTCTCTCTCCCTCTCTCTCTCTTCTCTCTCTCCCTCTCTCTCTTTCTCTCTCTCTCTCCCCCCTCCCTCTCTCCGATCTTCTGCTCACCTGGCAAGCTGGCTTCAGGCTGTTCTCCAACAAACTGACACACATTCTTATTGGGCTGGCTTTCTCCTGCCCTTCCTGCTTCCTGCAGAGACGCAGCCAAGGCAGGAGCCCCGCCCAATAAGCTTGTCAGCTCCTCGGAGAACAGCGTGAGCCACTCTCTTTTTTACACACACACACACACACACACACACACACACACACACACACACACACACACAGAGAGAGAGAGAGAGAGAGAGAGAGAGAGAGAGAGAGAGAGAGAGAGAGAGAGAGAGAGAGAGAGAGAGAGAGAGAGAGAGAAGGAAAGCACAAGTGCCTCTCTCTGTCTCTCTCTCTCTGCAAATGGCGGAGGAGGCTGGGAGCCGCAGGAGAAGGCTCAAAGAGCCACATGCAGCTCCGGAGCTGCGGGTTGCTGACCCATGGTCCAGACCAACATGGAAACTCTGCATTTTTACCTGCATTCAGACACTCAGCATCAGAAAGATACAACAGCATGCAAACAGTAAATTAAAGTTCAACCAATCAACCCAGTTAATGTTCTATGGATATTTAAATAGCTTTGTACAGCCTGAATAGCCTTAGCGATATCTGAGTGTAAGTCAGTCTAATATGTACATGCATGCATGTATAAAAGCACATACATACATATACATGAAATATATATCCAGTATGAACAGATATACGATATCTATTTGCATAGTACAATGTAAGTGAGCTGCTCACCTACAGGAATTCTTACTTCCCTATGCCAAATATTTTATGTTTAATAGCTGTTCCCCTCTCAATATTCCATTCACACACCACTCCAACTAATCTAAACTAACAACAACAGATAACTGTGACTGCTGCAATACTAGCTGAACTGGAAAACATTTGAAAGGAAAGCAACCCAACTAAAGGCCAGAAAGTAGTATGAATAGCAGTTAGAAAAATCAAAGATGATGCCACACAAAATATCTAAACTTGGTTCCAATAGCAAAAACAGAGCACATTTTGTTCCTATTTCAGTACAAAATTCTTAAAATACCATGACTACACCAAACTGGCTTTCAAGTGTTACAGAATGCTTGTGAAAAACTATTTATTGATTAATCCTCTAAAGCAAAACCATTCAATTGGGCTTGAACTTTTCCGTACTTCACTTGGTCGGTCTATGCCAAATAGTGATCATCCTTAAACTATTTTCTTCTTTAGACAATATCGACAGCTTCTGCTTTTGCTTCAAAGAAATGCAGTCCATATAAATACCACATAGATTTATCTTCTCAAGTAAAGCTGCTCTTTAAATTAACTTGTTCTTCTTCCTTTCAAGGTTTTGCACCTAGAGTATGTAGCTTTAGGGCATTAAAGAGCTTGAATGTCTTGCCCAAAAACTGAATACAAATACAAGAATGACCTGAAAGAACAAAATACAGTACTGTACTAATAGGAGCAGCCTAAATGGAAGGCTATTTAGGAAATCAATCAGAAATAGACACATAGACATGTAGAATAATATTAGCCTTGTTTTGGAAAATAGTTTTTAGGACATTTATGCTTTCCTAGTTTAATGCAGGCTTATTTTATTCACAACTAATATAAAAAGGCAGAATTCATGTCTGCTGTCTTCTAATTCTATTCTTTAAAGTGGGGGACATGCATGGTGTTACAACTGATGAACTCTTTTACCTGATCCATATAATCTCCTGTTCGCCATTTTTTCTGTGTGGCCTTGACTTAAATCCGGAGAAAGAGGTGGCAGTTGCATATAGAATGGGTTATATACCACATCAGCAGGTGGTCTTTGATGGTATATACCAGAAAGTTCTGCTTTCCGATCACTGAAAGACGTTACAACTGAACCTGAAAAGTATGATATGATATATGTATATTATTAGGCAAATCAAATGGATATGGCTGTTGGGCCAGTCTACAGCAAAACTTTATGGCAGTCATTATCCATTTGCAGAAAGCCAGGAAGCATTGGTCCCAATGAAATGATACCAAATTGTCCAAGTAACAAGACATTTTTGGAGATATTCTCCCCCCCCGGCCTCAAAAAAAAAGTATTGTTTCCAAAGGTGGCCAAGATGGTGAGGAAAATATGTAGTGATTTGATTCAACCAGAAGGCCAATACTGAATTTGGAAAGAAGGAAATATCTGGGTGAAGGGGGAACAGAATCTTTTCATAAGGCAAACCATTTACCAGGTTGACAGGCCAATGCCATGACTACCAAAAAGACTACTAATCAAAAAAACTTGGAGTGATACAGGAAGAATAAGAAGGAGCCCTCAGTCCAAAAGTAGCATGGATGCTTTAAGATGGACACCTAATTAGGTCTTTCATGAATTGCTTCTATGGGTTAAAGAAAAACATTTGGGAAAAACAAACAAGGAAAGAATGCCATCGCTGAAAAGAGGACCAAGGGTCATGCATCAAGTGTCAGAAAATGAGACTTGATAATACCAATAAAGGAGAATATTTGTAGCTCGGGATTGAAAAGAGGGGTCCTTGGTGCTCTCTGAGCTAGGTTAATTTTCTTGCAGACGTTTCATTACCCAAACTAGGTAACATCATCATGCTAGCCTTTGCTAGCACTGATGATGTTATCTAGTTTGTGTAATGAAACGTCTGCAAAAAACAAAACAAAAAACAACCCAGCTCAGAGAGCACCAAGGACTCCTCAATGTGATATGCAAGGATTGTTTCCAAGTGGAGTCTTCAAAAGGTTTCTGTTTAGGTGCACAGGGAGCCCTTGTGGAAAGCTTGTAAGATGTAACCATCTCTCCCTGTATGAATGCAGGGATGATTTGGGGCAAGGAAGGCATGGATTGTTAAAGGAAGTGAAAGGGCAACTCAGTCCTAGAAATATGGAAAACACGAGGAAGAAATTTGACATAATTCCACCATGATTTTTTCTGCTATAAGAGAGAAGTAAGAGAGAGGGCGGAGAGAAACACTTTCAAGATTCTGTTACTCTACCTCACTACAATGAAGCAGCATGCCTAGAATCCCTACAGTGCCTGTCTCTTGACTTGGCCTATCTCAAAGGGCTGACATCAATCCTGAAAGCCTCACTACTTTCATCAGAAAGGCATCGAACCTTGCTGTTAGATGTTTAAACCTGGCAATAGATCTGAAGGGCACCCTGATGTTCTCAGAAGACGCTGCTAAAGCATTATTAGGTCATCAACAGCAAATGGATGTACAAATAATTAACCAACACAATGCCATGATATAACTAATGCAGCAATTGTGGTTTGCCTCAGATAGCAGCAGCTCAAAAGCTTGCAACTCAAGCAGTTTGGATCAATGTCAGCCCTTCCAGGGAGACTAATTTTGTTGCCAATGATGTTCCACGCTACACCATCATCTACTAGCTGACCCACTGTTGCATTCCTCCTCGGTATTTCTTTCTTCTGCCTTCAATCACTTTTGTTTTCTTTCATACTTTGGATCTCCAATTTTTTTCTGTCACTTTTTAAAGGACTTGTACACCGAAAAAAACCTAACAGCAGGACCCTGCTATAAATGAGGGAAAGAAGCAAGTGAGTGTTCTTGCTGCCATACAACTTTCCTCTAATGTGTTTTCTAAGTTATAAAGCTGCTTTTACTTCTAAATTCCCAAGATATAGTTTGCAGATCCAACCATAGATTAGCTAATGTAAATGAGTTTTGTGGTGTTAGTCAGCTTCTAAATAGCATAAGCACACTTGTAAGTTGCTTTGCTCTTCAGTGTGCAGGCAGTCATATACATCTTTGGTATCTTGTTTCATACCCAGTGGAAATTATACTTAATCACTTAAACAACTTAATATATAGAAGCTAACTTTAGAACAAGGTTTATCTTAGATGGTTAGAAATTATTCAGCATTGTTCTCATTTCTCTTCTCATCAATAAAGAGGCAAAGGGGTTACAAGAATCATCCCAATTCACTTTCATGATCAAATTTTATCATTATGGTAACAATGCTTGGAATTGAGCATTTCAAAAAAAGAAGGAATTGCGAGTATCCTCTCTATATCCCAATTCTGGGAGTTGGATTCCACATCTTAAAACTGCCAAGTTTGAGAAACACTGCTCTATATTATAAAACCACAAGTGCAGATTCAATGTGCAAACCTTTTATTCTAGAATTGTTATGTGGTTAAAACTATGTTTAAGAATAGCTTAAATATTTAAGAGCTAAAATTTCCAGTAACACAAAACATTTGACTTTTTTTTATTTTTATTGTAAGGCCAGAAATACACTGTGCTCTAAACTTGTGGCTTGCACAACTCCCTGCTCTGAGAGTCCTTGAGGTGCACACATTTCACAATAAGATACTGTTCTTTCATTCAACAGACTCTAGGGACAAGTAAGGCTAGCAAGTTCAGAAGTACAAACAAAAGAGCATATTGTCATGAGAAGGGAACTATATCTGGCTGAAACAAGACCTGTGCTCTATTGTCCAATCCAGATTAAGTCATGGAGCTGGAATAAAAACTATCATCTGAAAAAAACCAGCAGTTTTTAAAAAGTTTGATCTGTATGTTTAAATAATAAAAAGACTAAAACCAATCTCAGTAGAAGACAGGAGTTTTCTTCTTGCACATGGTGAATGAAATGCATTTTAGGTTAACAAGTGGTGGATAGGACAGACTTCTCTGAAGTCACAGAATAATCCGAAACAGTAAGAATACTGTATATATTTTAATAACCTACAATACATTGTAGAATTTGGAAACAAATCAACCTTTACAATACAGTACAGTATATATTATTTTTGGTCTTACTTTTTACTAAACCAGTCAAAAATAGCTAACATTCCAAAAGAGTCAGACACAAATAAAAACATCAAATAAAATAAAACAAAGCCTATGGGGAAAAGCTGTGTTTTTACTTTATTCATTAAAGCTAAAGAGTATCAATGGCCTGCTTCTATTTCAATGTTGTTTGTGTAGAGGGGACTGGTGAGAACCGGAGGAAGCTGTCTACCTAGTTTTGCAAACGGTCACTTTTTGCTACATGTATCCATATAGTTTGATCTTGAGTCTTAATTAGCAATTTGAACTGGTAATCAATTGCATAAGCAAGTTTCCAATGCATCTAAAGGCAGCCTGTCAAAAAGAAACATTAATTTTACACTCTTTCATCTTTTTACCTTGAAGTCCCCCAAGATGTGGATTACCAAGATTTCGAGGTTGGATGTAAGCAAGTTTGAACTGAGGAACTACAAAGGGTATTTCTTTGCCACCTGGTGGGAACTTGGAGAGAAGATAATCTTCTGAACAGCCAACCTGCCTTTTCATGGATACAGAAGACAAAGGAGGTTTCTCCACTACTTTTGATCTATATTGATCAGCAACTGCAGACTGTTTCTCCAGAGAGGCTGTGATAAAACACAAAAAGAAGCAAAACGTATCAGTACTCAATTCATGACCTTTTGTATTTTAAAAGGGTCACATTTCCAACATATTGATTGAGATATGGAGTAGTTTAATGGTCAATATATCAATTTTGAGAAGGTTTTCAATGATTCTAAAATATTATAACTGATGATTTCAGTTATTTGTCAATGTTAGTTAAAAGAAGGTCACAGAATCAGTAAATTAGCAATTTACTTAAAATTATAAATGCAGACAAAACTTAATTCTAATCATTACAGTATATATGTATACTGGAAAAAGGGTAAAGTGCCAATTGACTGGAGTATGGCCTATTTTATGCCTCTTTAAGCAGCTGTAAAATATTTGGATTTTGGCAAACCATTTCATAAAGTACAACATGACATTCTGGTTAGCAAGCTAGCTAGCAAGTGTGGGCTAGATAGTGTGGCTACCTAGGAGCTGAATAACTGATTCAAAAATGGAGTTGAAAGTCTGCCTATCAAATTGGAAAGAGGTACATTTAGTGACTGTTCAAAGTTACAACAGCACTGAAAAAAGTGAATTATGACTATTTTTCACACTTTACTACCTTTGCTGCATCCCCATGGTCATATGATCAAAATTCAGATGCTTGGCAACTGGCTCATATTTATGACGGTTGCAGTGTCCCGGGATCATGTAATTACTTTTTGTCACCTTCTGACAAGCAAAGTCAATGGAGAAGCCAGATTCACTTAACAACCATCTTACTAACTCAACAACTGCAGTGATTCACTTAACAATTGTGCCATGAAAGGCTGTAAAATGGGGCAAAATTCACTTATCAACTGTCTTGCTTAGTAACAGAAATGTTGGGCTCAATTGTGGTCATACATCGAGAACTACCTGTACAATAGTTAGAGTGAAAGTGAAAGTGAGGCAATGGCTAATAGTTTTATCATGTCACCATTAAAAAATTAAGATATTTAAATTAGCTAAACTTACCATCATGCTTTTCTTTATTAGTATATAAACACCCTCTACAACAATTCTTAATGCATTCTGTTGCCATTACTGCTTCTAAGCAAGCTGGAATCAATGAAGAAGGCGACCTAGAAATTATTAGAAAATTAGATCAGAAATACAGAAAAAATCCTCCCCACCCACCCATCTTAAAGTTGCCAATGTTGAGAAATACTGGTCTAGGCAATAGGTTATTTCCCAGTGCAAAATTATGTGTAATAGAAGCTCCTATGAAGGAGATCTACTCTGCTTCTCCAACGTCAATGTGGCATTGCAGTGGCTTATAGGGGATCCCCAAAGACATCTGAAGAAACCCGTAAAGTATAATTCCTCTGTGCCCTGTCTTCCTGCTGAAGTAAACTGCTATATTCTTTCTCATCATTTCATTGGGATTAAATTGAATCCAGTTTTTCTCACCAGTAATTTTTTTTTAAAAAAAGATTATGCTTGAGATTTATACAAGACAAAGTATCAACCTCAAGTACAATTTTATTTCTAAGAATATGTCTGGCTCAGAAATGCCTGGGGCATTCTTCAGAGAAAAAAAACCATGCTTGCATGGGGGGAGGATTATAGCTTTGTAGATTTTTGTGTTTGATTTTGGAAATATGCCATCTTATAAACAAATACTTTTAACTTATCTATCTAAATGACTTACAAGGCTGCCTACCTTATATAATAATCCTAGACAGCTAACAATTATATCAAAAAATATGAGCCGTAGTGACACAGTGGTCAGAATGCAGTATTGTAGGCTAATTCTGCCGACTGCTAGCAGTTTGATCCTGACCAGCTCAAGGCTGACTCAGCTTTGCATCCTTCTGAGATCAGTAAATGAGGACCCAGACTGTTGGGGGCAATAGGCGACTCTGTAAACCACTTAGAGAGGGCTGTAAGGGACTGTGAGACAGTATATAAGTCTAAGTGCTATTGCAAAAACAACAACATAAAAATACTTCATACCCTTCCCACCATGGCAGTCTAATAATTTAGAGGCTCATCCCCATCTTATCCCTGAATCTTCGTAATATTTTCTTCAGATTCCAAAAATAATACATAACAGCAATGCTTCTTTGAATTAGTTCATTTAGTGTTGGCTTAGTCTGATGCATGAATTCAACCATTTTTATTTTTAAACCCCAGCTATGCAATACGTGTGAATCAATTACTATGGCTTCAACAAACCATATTGTACTTAAAATAAATGATGGATTAGTATAACATACACAAATTTAGTTACTAATGTAGACAGTAGTGAGCTAAGTAGATAGTCTGTCTCTATAAGATGGTCAACTTCCTATTATTTCCAGAGTCCGTGAAATGGATCTCTGCAACAGATGACTCACTCTTACTCTTACCCTCTGGAACTAAAAACTAAAACGAGCTGCTCTCTACTGTCGTGACAAAGATTTTTACCAGAGACTATTACTGATACTGGGTCCTGGAAAAAATACCCTATCAACGGAGAAAAAGAAATCACATATTATACCTTGATTATGGAAAAGTACTCCAGCATCTCTAGAATGAACTTCTAATTATTAATGGTCCAGAGGTTCTCCTTTTGCCTTTCATTAGCAACGGTGTGTTTGTATGTATGTGTTCTCTTTGTTAGTGTTGGCAGGAAAAGGGAAGAACAGTTGGGTGAGGGGACAAACTCTAAATCCTTCAAAGAACTAAAGGTAAGGTTTTTTTAAGTGCAATAGGCAACTAAAATCAAATGAGTTTCCTCTCTGCTTGCAGAGTGATAAATGTAAGTATCAAGCAATGTCTTTCATAAATACTGTCCTGAGGCATGTCCTAAGTCAGCAGATAAATCATAATTTCTTCAGGTATTAAATGATCTTAGGTAAATACTCATGTCTAAGTCATGTATACACAGGTTAAATACTCAGTTATGCATAATAGGTTATTGTGCTCAGTTTTAATCCTTATGAAAGTTTAGGATGAACTGATTTTACCTTTGCAAACAGAATGGCAAAAAAAACCCCAAGAACTGCTATACTGTAATATAGGAAGTTTACATTAATGCATGGGTATCTACAGAACAAAACATGGCATCTTAACCTATTTAGTCATTTTGCTCCTAAGTGAGCACAAGAGTCACATTGAAAGCCTCTGGTTTGTTATTCTTTTAATTTCTCTCCTATAAGGAAATTCCCTTAACTAAATTGTATTTCTAGAAGGAAATAAAGTTAGTATTGATAAGGAGAAAACCTCTATGAAACAGAAAACACCTCCTTACCAGCAATGAGCAGAATCAACACCAAAATCAACATTAGACCAACAATCAAGAAGCAAACAATACCCAATCAAGGAACTACCAAATCAGCCAAAGAAGCTAACAATAAACAATAATCCAATTAAGGAACTACCAAGACCACTCCCACCAACATTGACAGGACAAATCAATAGTATATAAAATAAAGCAAACTCACTCCCTACTATCACTATCACTGATGATACTACCTAGTTTGGTAGTGAAATGTCTGCCACGAAACAACCAAGCTCAGAGAGCACCAAGGACCCTGTAGCTCAACCCTGAGCTACAAATATTATCTTCTGTGGATACTACCCAGAATATTCCAGCATATTCATTTAAATAGAATTGTCCCAAGTGCTCTAAGGGGGGGGTCCCCAATGGATCTAGGTAGCATGTGAAACTACGCCCCTCCGATCCCTGGTGCCCAAAAGGTTGGGGGTCACTGCCCTAAGGGTTAATGTAAAACTGCTATACAAAACTTTCTTATATACAGCCTGTCTCAACTATATGGATTCCCAACTATCTGCACTGCAAATGGAGCATCAGCCAGTATAATCAGAAGAGTACACAGCAGTTTGTAAGTGAAGTTATTACATGGCACTGCAGCATTCCTATTTCAGTTATGGAACATGATCAGCAGGCATCGTTATAAAGTAAATAAAAATAAAGTGGAAATACAGCCTGACTCTTGATTTGGTTATGTGCATATTCTGTGAATGCTAAAATGTTTAGCCAGTTACTCCTTGTTTAATTCAAAGCAATGAGGACACAATAGTTAATTTATACAAATAAGTTTCAGAAGTAGCTTGATATACGACTTCTTCAATATAATCATTTTCCTCCTGAGTGAGTACAAGACTCAGACTGAAAACCTCTGGTTTATTGTTATTTTCTCTCCTATAAGGAAATACCCTTAACTAAATTATGCTTCTAGAAGGAAATAAACTTGGTACTCATAAGGGAAAAACCCCTCTGAAATGGATCTTGTTCTGTAAATACTGTAGTGAATCAAATCAAATTAAATTGGGCATTAAAAATGGCAGACCACAAAACTCTACACAGAACATAATGTAATAGAAGTATATCAGCCATTCAAACCCAAACAATGGGTACATTTAATTATTATTTATCCCTACTTTCATATCCTATTTATCTTCTATTGCTTATGGTAGTACATGGTGGTAATATTTTAGTATGACAGTTAAAGTCATCTTTATTTGGTTAATGATCAGCACAAGGTAAACAAAAGGCAGACAGATAAAAAAAATCTAAAAAGGATCAAACAAGAGGAAAAAAGTAGCATAGGGGTACATTACGCTATAAAGTGTAATTAAGATCAGAGTAATTCTCAAAAACGTAATATTTTTAGCATTAAAGTTATAAGTTATAATCTTGATCACAACAGATCTAAAACCATTGCAAAATAATTCCTAAGAATGATTTTCTTAGGAATTATTTCAACAAAATAACTGTATTATTAGAGCTCAATGAAATTGAAGAAAAAAAAATCAACAACACTTTCCTTGTCCCAGCTTTTGCCTTACTTCCATTGTGGCAACCCAGAACCTAGCTACTGAGTAAATGATGGAAGGTTTCAAATCTTCCGAAAGGTCTGATTGTCTTCAACAGGTTTATACAACAGGGGTAAAATAAAATAGATCTGAACAACCTTTTAAAATTTACAACATGTGGCTGATTGTTTCTTAGCACAACATGGACAGGTGCTCTGTCAATGGAATTTTTAGTGTCCTTGCCTTGCAACAATGTATATAGTAGGATGCTAGCTTTAAAGAGTGGTTTTCTCACCTGGGAGGGAAGGAGAATGGATGAACAGATAGATATGATATAGGTTGCTATAATTTTATGGGGACCAACAAACTATTTATACATTCTTGGGTAAATACTATTCAGGTTCCAATACAACCTTAGTAACTCAAATTCTATTATTCTGGGACAACCTGTTTACCTCAGCCTGATGATCCATATCATTCACTCTTTGGATGACCATGTGCCTATCCTGATAATACCTTAATATTAAAAATGGTATGTAAGCCTGCATGATGCAAGCTTCTACTCTACCATTAATTTCCATTGGAAATGGAAAAGTCATCAGCAAAAACAAAAAGCAGCAAGCCTCCTGGATGAAAATGACTTTTAATTAACTATTAGCCTATAAGCTTGTACCTGAATATTGGGTTCTTTAAAAAATTACAATTTTCAATTCATTTTTGAACAGGCATCAGTTTAATTTCACTTGCAGATTTCAGACAATGCACCATTTATCATAATATTATGGTTGAGATGGTCATAGTGGTTGCCAGCTTATATGTGCATTTAAAATCCCTAATTCAAAAAAGCAAACTTTTCAGAAAAACCTAAATCATACTTGTCCAACATCAGGGATGGCCACAACCTACTCTTTAGCATTCTTCATAAAGAATTTACCAGCTGATCCCAGAGCAAATACATTATGAACTATACAAACTAATGTCACAAATAAAATTAGAGCATTGGAAATGCAGATTCAATAGATTTGTGCAGATGGTGGTAGATAAAGTCATTGTGCAGTAACTTTACTATCTTCTTACTTCATAATTTGAATAAAATACCCATTATGCTTTAGCCTATGCATGAGAGGGAAAGCACATACTGTAGGAGTTGAAGAGATGAAGACTCTCAACTTAATATGTAACTTCCTTGTTCATGACCATTGCCAGCTAACTTCTGAACTTCGTACATTGAACAAATCATAAAAGGATGATTAGGCTATAGTCTGTATATGACTAAGAATCCTCAACCTGTAAACAGAATCCCAGCAAAGTAT